ATCCACGCTAGGGAGGACCAGGGTGAAATTGAGGGTTGTATAATTCCTTGACTCAACATTTTTGAATCTTGTTTTTTCACTTCTTCTTTATGTAGGTACATGTGGATAACGGTATGACTGTGAAAATAGGTTTTGAATTGTTGGTGTCAATTGAATCTTTGATTTCATTCGTGAAGGTTAATTTGTCTTCCTCCAAATATAAAATACCCGAAAATTCTTAACATAAATTCATCATATTTCTTCTTCATTCAGATGAAACTTATAGATTTTTTATTTCGATTTCTCTTGTTTGTTGAAGTCTGGGTTCAAAATCTTTGTAAGAAATTCACTTTTTTCGTTGATTTTTATTATGGAATCTGTTTTTTTCTTGTGCTAGCAGTATAACATAAGTGTTTTCTAATTTTGTGTATAGTTTGAAAACTTGTTCTACTTTAGGTTCAATATTTATGATAATTTTCTATTGGATTCAGAATTTGTTCGCCTTGATTGAATAGTGGTAACCGTTTAGGAATTTTTAATGAACTGTCTGTTTTTTATATCTACGATCCCATCGTAATGTTCGAGAAAACCAGAACTTGATATTCCGGCGAATTCAATGTCTAGATTGTGAATGAATACTTCATGTGGGTCGCTCATTGTGAATGGCACTAAAGTAGATTCTGTCATTTCAATTTTTTCGTCAGTTATTTCTGAAACTGAAATATTTTCGGGGGTAATTTCCATGTCTTTTTCTACTGTTTTTGGTTTGAAAGTTGAAATTCCTGCACCTTTGTCAAATACTTTACATGCACTTTCCCTTTATCAATTTTAGGTTTTTCGGAGCGAGTTTGGATTTCTTAGGCAATGCATTCTTATTGAGAGACATCGTTCTCGTTTGCGTTGCAAGGTCGACTATCAATGTATGCTGAGTCGAGCTATCTGGAATTGTCGATTCCATAGGCGGGGGTTAGTCTGGTGGACTAGTCAATCAAAAATCTTGGGAATGAAATAGATCTGAACTACTGATAATTTTTGTCTTGAAAATTATCATATTGGGTATTGTCATTTTCAAAATAATTCTCTTGAAATTCTGGTGGTTGGTCATGAACAGTATAATAACCTTGCTCATAAGCAGTATTAAAACTGAAAATGAAATGATGTGTTTTTCTATTCAAATTTATATCTCGTTGATTAACAGAAGGTCATTGTTGGTTAAAATTTGATGATGAAGGATGAAGATTATCTTACATTGTTACCTGATTCAGAATGTGAGAACGAAATGAAAGCTGCTATTTTCTTTCATAGGAAACCTGGTTATTTTTATATTTTTGATATTCCCAGTCACCTTGTGACTTATTATTTCACTGGTAAGCCACAGTGAGGCTGTCATAGAATAAACTAAAATGCTTAAATATTTTTCAAATTGCAGGATCCAACACGAAGCAATATCAGTGAGAACTTATGATGGAAGTATATTTACTCCTCTAGGGTATTTGATGGTAGATGTAACATACCAAGGACTTTCCAGACCGGTCAATAGTTTCATAGTACAAAATAGATGTTCAAATTTGCTTGGGCATGATTTGATAGGCATTTGATATGAAAATAGAGATGCGGCAAATTTTGTGAATAAGGAAGATGAGGCAAATGAATTAATTTTCAAATATCCGAAAATATTCAAAGATAATATTGGAAAATTCAAGTTTTTGAAATAGAAATATCATTGAAACTTAAACCGAATTGTATCCCTTTTTATTGCAAATATAGAAATGTGTCTCTAGCTTATGTAGACAAAATCGGTCAATAATTGAATAAATTAGAAAAACAAGGCATAATCACACCTATAGAAAGTAGTTAATGGGCAACTACACTTGTACCAATTTCGAAAGAAGGAGGTAAACTTAGAATTTGTGGAATTATAAAGGTACACTATTCAAGACGGGGTGTTGATGATCCTTAAGCAGACTTTATGTCAAGAATGCCTTTAAAAAACATACAGATTTAGAAGACTATAAGGGTTCATACATTGATTCCATAAATGAATCAAGTCCATAGCCTTATAATCAATTAAAAAGCAAACCATGCTAGACAGTGAGTTGGAAAAAGTTTTGGAATTTGTTGAAAATAATGAGTGGCCAAAATTAGTTGATGTAAATTTAAAACCATATTTCAAAAGTGAAGAACTATCAGCACATAAAGGTATTATAATGTGGGAACGTAGAATTGTCATTCCCAAGGTGTTGAGATAATATTTATTGAATGAATTACATGTAGGTCATCTTGGGATTGTCAGATCCAGAACGTTAGCAAGATTTTGTATATATTAGCCCACAATAGACGCATACATTTGTCATTTAATAAAAAATTATACCGTTCTCGGAAAATAAAAATCATTCTCAAAAGAAAGTAGGTAGTAATAAAGTTTTTGCAAGAGTTCATGTAGATAATTATAATCCTATTAAGAGTCATTATTACTTGGTATCAATAGATTCATACTCAAAATAGTTAGAAGTTTTTCCAATAAATGGAACGACTGATCATGAAACGCAAGACAAGTTACGGGAAATTTTTGCAAGAATGGGTTTGCCAAAAACCTTAATAAGTGATAATGGCCCTGCTTTTTTCGGGCCACCTGAAATTCCGTGAAAACGTGTTAACAGAAAATAACATCAGCTCGCAGTGATCCTAAAAATAACGAAGTATCAGTAAATACTTCGATAACTCGATTCTTAATTGCATACCGTACTATGATACATTCAAGTACTAATAAATCGCCTGCAGAAAAGGAATATAATTTTTCTGTAAACACTCGATAGAGTATTCTAAATAAGCAATCAGAAACAGACAGCACAACAAATATTCAGAGAAAAATAAAGATCTTAAAAAAAGGGCCAATAGTGATGGTGAGAGACTATCGAGATAAAACAAAAACCTCTTGGAGAAAAGCGGAAATTCAACGAAAAATTGGCAATATTACATATATTTATAAACTTCCTTTTTGAAAAGTGTGGAAACCTGATAATATTAACCAGCCTAGATAAATTAGGGGAAAATGCACAGAAGGGAACGAATAATGATAATTTTCTAATTGGCTCAAAATATGATTCAATTCATTTTTCTGAAAAGAAATTTCCATATAGATCTCAGAATGATAATAGCGAGGATGTTGAAGCTGTAATTGAGGATGACAGAAAAATAAGAAATTCTAACAATATACCTACTGTTAGTTCAGGAAGTAGTCAATTAGTTGATACATTTGACCAAAGAATTGTTTCAGGTGAAAATAAAATTAGTCAGTCTAGTAGTAGTAGGGTTAGAGAAAAAAGACAAATCATCAAATTTCGCTTTGTGGAAAGGAGTTAGAGGTAATTGATGAAGAGAGTGAATGTTACAAAGCTGAAATTATGAAATGTTGTGATTATTGTCCCTTATACCTTTGTGATGAGCCGGGATTGGCGCAGTGGAAGAGCGTCCGTCTCACGACCGCAAGGTCGTATGTTCGATTCCCAGAACGAGCAAGAAACTTTTTTCAATATTATATTTTCGAATTAAATATTGTAAAGTTTCGAGGCATCGGCTGGGGATAGTCCTGCACGATTCGCTGTTGCGTTCGAATTGACAGTGCTGCTCCTAAAGTGGCGCATGGAGTTAGTAACAAAGCCTACACAGAACACGCAGAAAGAGATGATGATGTGGTTGTGAGCATCAGAGAAGAGGTAGGACGGTATTTGTAGGTGGGTGTGGAAAACTAGCAGCTGAGCGTAAGAGTGGGCCAATGCTGCTTAGTGCACCTCGGTCTCTAACGGGGGTTAACGAGAATAGCTAGCTGGCCTGCAACTGCAGCATATGGTAGTGAGTACATTACTAGCCTACAAAACACAGCCGAAAAACTCGAAAAGAGAGATGATGGGCGATGTTTGAAAAGGATGTTAGCCAGCTCTCTTAAGCGGACCACATCACTCATTGAAAACACCTTAGGGCTTGCAAAAAGGTCCCATTAGGGACTAGTTGCTGACGTGCAAACGTCCCCCATCAGTACCAGTACCTTTGTGATGTCCAGAAATTCATTATTACTTATTGTCCATATACATTAATTTGTGATATTTGGAAACTATTATTGCCCCATATTACGCTGTGATATGTATATAGAAACTTTTGAGTAGTAGAGCATATTAAGAGTAAAACATTTTATGTTGGCACATGTCTCACAGCAGAATAACTGTTGTTATAAAAGGGCATACAATTATGTTAGTGAGGGTGCAAGAAATGTTATATCAGCAAATGTTAATAGATATGTGTAGTACACACCAAATGAGTGAGGGAGAGTGCATAGTGTATTGCAACCCTGCCTTAATGTGAGCGCACGTGCGCAATAGATTAGAATGTATTCGAAGTCGCCAAGGTCATTAGATGACTTTGCGATGACATTCAAAACTACGGGTAAAGATCCTAACTCCTAGCATAGATTGAAAGTTAGAAATGCTTTCCGTACTTTTCAATGTCATCGCAACGTCATCTAATGACCTTGGTGGCCGCGAATAATGGGCAACAGCCCTCTCTTCCACGAACTCTACTACCGAGAGAGAGACTTCTTCTAAATTGTGTCTGACTTTGATGGTATGAAATGATTAATTGAAATATAATGTATGGTTTATTAATTACAACAGTAGAATCATCTCCATGAACATAGCAGTCATCATATTGATAATGATTGTAGGAAAACATCGACTTATTATACACTGTAAGTGTAAGCCCTCCTAACAAATTCATTATTAATTATTAATAGATTATTTATATGCATGGTTATCAGAAAGTCTCATTTGATATTTTTGTTCTGTCCTTTCTGAATAATTGTAAAACAAAGGGGCGAAATTTTTTGTAGAATCCCACGACCGCTCACCGACCATAAAAACAATCATCCTCTATTTTTTTATGTGAAGTTACACCACAGCATTTGAATATTGACTATGCAAATATAAATCTATTTGATGGGAACATTTGGATTTTTTTTAGAAACTTACCTTGGAAGCAGCTATCAATTGATTAGCGACTCTTCTTGACATGAACTCTATACTGTCAACTAAATCATTGGCATTAGCCTTGGCTATACCTTGTAATGTTTTATATCCAGCATTGTAAAGCTGCTTTGCACGACTCTGAAAAAAAAAACATCTGCATGAAATGAAAAGAAAAAACTAAGAATTTGGTATATATTCCAAAATCTTTGTCAATATTAAAAAACCCAATATGAGGTGAGGATATTAAAACAATAACTTCAAAAACATTTTATACCAGGTGTCTGCACGAAATCGGGAATTGGTGATGGGTCTCATAATTGTTTGGTGAATTCATTGAATAAATACGATAAGCGATATCTTTCGACGGATTTCCATTACAAGTTCTTACTGGTCGCAATATGATATCACTCAGGAGAAAACCAAACTCCGCCTTAGTTTTCTTGGAGAAATATTTGCATTCTATGGATTCCCTCTGTTACTTCATTCAAGAATATAAAAAGTATTTAAACGAACAACGTCCAATTATTGTAAAAACACATTACTAAAATGGTGAAAGTTTTGCGAAATCAATTCGCCAATAACGCCAATTTTGAGATCGCAATAATACGTCAAATGAATCGACAGTGAGGCGTAAAATTAATAAATTTGAGATCAAATTCCCGCTGATCGTCTCTAATTTTGTAATTGAACGCCTCACTGTCGATTCATTTGGCGCATTATTGCGACCAAAAACTTGACGTACCTAATGGGCGAACTGTTTTCGCAAAACTTTCCCCATTTTTGTGATGTGTTTTCACGATTATTTCATTCATCTGAAAATTCACGCTTTTGATTGGTTGTAACAGCTGTATTGATAATCGAAAACACTATGTTATCGATTTTGTATTTCGGCACCTGATTGGCTACTCACTGTTTGAGTTTTTGTAGCATGACAGCAGGATATAAATGCTGTCATAATATATTCGTGTTCAGGGAATAAAAACACTACTCTTCTATTCAAAACCCAATAGGCACTATCACAATTTGAATTGTCCTCTCAATTATTATAAGACAATTCCAAATAATTATTGATTGAGCATGATTCGCATTATATAACCTAAAATAGGAATAATTTTTCAACCACGACTGACGTGACATCTCTACATCTCTCTCTTCTCACTCCCTATGATGTACGCTGCTTTATCCATTCAACGCTTTAATGTATTGTTAGTTGCATAACATCCCTAGTACCTTCGATCGCGAGTGAAGAGGAAGAGTGAATGCGAGATCACGATTGCGGGAAACTCAATTGAGAAGGCTGTGGCCAGTTGTGAAGGAATCAAAGAAAACAAAACTGTTTATTTGTTGATAAATATCGTTACTAGGTGTGGTGTATAGCTTGAAAATGGACAGTGAAAATCGTTTCCGTAAATATAGTGTAGAAGAAATAAGAAATGAAGTCAAAGACTTAACGCCTCAAAATACCGTGCGTTCCAAAAAGTATGTTTGGAAACAATTCACAGAATTTTGTGAACATCAAATTTGTATTGTTTCTTGAATTATTTTTGCTTCATAAACTATTGTTTTATGTGTAATGTATTCACTTTTCAGTACATTTCATTAGACGTGGCAACGCCGCATCTGTACTATCGAAATAGTAAACAGGCAGCACGCGTCTCTGTATGGAATACTAATAATATGTTTTAATCATATATTGAATAACTGAAACATCAAAAGTACCAACTCCGATTTATTGATATTGTTATTAGTTTCATCATACTATGTAATTTCCATTTTCAGGTTTCGGAAGGATAACTTTTTGTCAATATCAACATTGTCACAGTGCTATAACTGCCAATCGTGTAATTGCTTGACCTCAAAATTAAAGAAGTGGAATACCCCGCTAGTATTCGCTATATCTACATATCTACCATATTTTTGAATGGTTTATCATTTAGCCTCTTAAAAAACCTATACTGGGAGTACAAATTATTGTCCACACCATGGAAATACATAGGTATTCTGTATTTATTTGGTAGTTCATTGTAACAGACCAATCTTTCTCTTTAAGACTGTTTGAACTACACGGTTGATGATGGTCGAAACATCAACCTCAACATATGAATAAGTGTCAATGAAAATTATGAAGATGACTAAGAGCTTTCTTCTCTCCCTGAATAATTGAATATTTCATGAGTTCAGCCCTCAGATCGTGTTGAAGCATGCAAATAACTGATCACATTTACCTGTTTAACTGCAGGTAATTCCATCAGAGGCAACAATTCCTGAACACAACAGTGAGACAGCCTTTGATTCATTCCTCTCAGTAGATGAGAATATGCCCAAAATTCTTCCAGTTCTTCACAAAAATTTACCACATTCGAAGCAAACGTTGCAGTTGATGTCATCAAGTTCTGAACAATGCCCCTGTTGATCTGAAGAACAAAATATTCACGACTACGTATTTATTATTGATAATGAAACTGGACTTGATCATACATTTTATCAACATGGATAGATTTTGGATACATTCCTCGAGAGACAAAAGACGTTAATGGAATTTGCACAGGATAATATAGACATGTCACCTGAAACATTTTTTTCTTTTCAATTGAATCGGCAGTTACCCGTTAGATATGGTTTGGAATTTCTAGGTTGAGGTAGTATGTTTATGGGAAAGCATTACACTGGAGAAACAGACCATTGTCCTTTCGTACAAGTATTTAATAAGCTTCTGAGAAGTTATCCAGCTAACTTCAAAGAATGTTGATTCAATTGAGGAAATATTAAGTTGATGTAAAATATGTACCATGCAAAAATCTAATCGATGCTGACAGTTTGTCACGGGCCTATATTGATGAGAGCTTTGAAGAAAACATCGATTTTGCATATGCACTGCATATGTTTCCTAGGCTAACATATTGTTTTCTATTTAGTAAATACGTTGTAAGTAATGTTAGCAGATTCCCTCTGATACCCATGTTTTCCATTTTATTCAAAAGAATTTCATGATTGACTACATCAAAAGCTTTCCGCAAATCTATGAAAACTGTCAGCACAAAATATTTTTCATCAAGCTTGGATGAAATGTAATTCAAAAAATCTGTCGTAGCACTGAGGGTGCCACTGTTTTCTTGGAAACCATATTGGTACATATCAAATTTTACATCAATATCAATAAATGTTATGATGCTTTTTTAAATTATTTTTTCAATTAGTTTTGATAAACATGATACCATTGTGATAGGCCTATAGTTGTCAATTACTGTGCTTGAACCTGATTTATGTAATGAATAACTTTACCAATTTTGAGTATTTCCGGATAGATACCTTGATGAGAGATTTCATTGATTAGGAATACTTATATTGGCATTATGGTCGTTTTCAATGTCAGTATGTCTCTTGTATTGATTTGATCAGGTCCTGGCGCTGCATTTTTATTCAATTCATTCAGTATCTCCATTACTTCCGTCTCGTTAGTGTCATATAATATTATTGAGTTATTATTCCACACCTCCTCAAAGTTTGTTATATCGTAGTTGTTAATGTTAACTATGTTGTTTGCTATACTTTTACCTATATTTACAAAGTAATTATCAAATGTATTTGCTATGGCTTTCGTATCACAAATTTTTTCCTCATCCTGTTCAATATATTCTATTTCATTCTTTACTAATTTTCCCTCAACCATCTCATTGATTAGTTTCCATTGTTTTTTATTATCTCTTCTTGTTTTTTCCCATCGTTTCGCAAAGTATTCTTTTTTGAGCATCTTCCTTTGATTATTTACAATATTTTTTTGCAATCTGAATTGCACTTGAATTATTTCATCAAATGAGTTATTTATTTTTAATTTATATAGCCTATCCCTTACCTTCATCTGATTCAAGAACTCTTTAGTTATCCAATCATTTCCATCTCTGTGTTTTACTTTAAGTATATGAATTTGTTGCCTCTTTTTTACTGGCTTGAATTGCTGATATCAAAAGTTAAACAACTACCTCTAATATATTATGATCTGTTACATATTTATCACTAACTCTAACATCACAACTCATTTTTTTGTTTGAAATCACATGGTCAATCATCGACTTTGATTGAGTAGTTACTCTTGTTGCGTTTTTGTAATTTATTTTGTTACATATTTTAAAACCATTAAGTGTAATTGTATTTTTGTAAGTATCAACCTCTGGTGCTGCATATTCAATAAGTTTACATTCATATCCCCTATTAGGATCATCTTTTGATTATTTTTACTCAAAATTCCATCCAATTCAATTATGAAGTCCTTGGCAGGTAAAGACGGTGGTCTATAAAGAGCACATAGTCTGATATTGCTTCCACATAGGTTAATACTTACAAAATTCAGGGCATGATCATCCTTTGTGGATTCCGTTGTTTCAATGCTATACTCTATTGAATCTTTGATATATATTGAAGATCCTCCTCCTTTAGAATTTCTACAAGAATGAGTACTGCTGTAACCACTAATTTGAAAATGATTTACTTCGTGCCTGTGAAACCATGTTTCTGTTATCACCGATATATCACAGTTTTTTTCTTTCACATAACAAAGAATGTCATCAAACTTGTTTCTGGCACTTTGGGCATTCATATACGAAATGTTTAACCCGTTACGTTCCGTTTGGGACGCTGCAAGATTGTTAGATCGGTTTTAGCTTCTACTATTTGTATCTTGCTTGATTCGTCTTTTCTCACCAAAATAGATCCATTTGCAAACCATCCGTATTTGTAGTCATTATCTTTTTTGAATTTTCTTGCCAACATACAAAGGTACTGATTTCGTTTGGTCATATCATGATTTACGTATACCAGATCCTTATTTGTGCCAAGTCCTAATTTTACTAGCGTGATCTTCATTTCCTTCTAAGCTTGCATAAACTGTTCTTTGTCAGTTTTGTTACCAAAACATACCTTGATTGGTGCATCTTGATTTTCTTTATTACCTATTCTATAGCATTTTTATGCTCTGTATCACCTCTGTACAAACTAAAAGATCAATAAATTATCTAACTATCCATCTATCTATCTATTGTGTGAAATAGGTATAAGATCGTACAAAATTCAAACTGGTGATGGAACAATTTTAAATGAAGAAAATTCATAAATGTTCATCAATCATCAAATCAGAAAGTGAACCATTTCAAGTTTGCAGAATAATCTACATGATGAGTTTGTTGACACAGATGATTTATTTAGGTACAGATAGCAATAATACTGAACCATCAAGGGATAATGCTATAAATGAAAAAAGTGTCAGTAATGCCAGCTTAGCTATAAACATATCAGAGTCGTCTGATCATAATAATAGCTTTGATTCATGTAGTAATAATAATAATACATGGAATTTTTTTGTGTTCTGGAAAGGCAATGAAAGCATATTGAAATGTACATCTCTATCTTATTGATTTTTAAGATTGTATGTTGTATAGGTACAGACAATAATGAAATGTTGTATGTTGTATGTAATAACGAGAATTTTCATGTTGTATGTAATAATAAGAATTTGTATCTTGTATAGCTATATCCTTTACAAAAAAAAAAGAGATGTGAGACACCTCTCATATTCATGTGTTCCATGTACGTAGATACTGGCATTGAGAGGCCGAATAACTCACTTACCAACTAGACGTCGTTTGATTGACATCGCCTATGACTTCTCCAAACTCATCACAAACGCCATCAATGATTCGTTCACAATTTAAAATGTTAGGTTCCGTTTTGTCGCGTGAAAAGTTAGGGCGAACTCTTTTCGCTGTTATAATGACAAAATCACAGCAGCATATAAAAATTTTTATACATGAATTGTCACGATAAAAATTTCAACAAAAAACGTAACTATTAGATGTCCTAAATCTTATATGGTCTATTTTTTGCGTTGAAGTTGCCCCAATACCATATTTTGAGGCGTCCACTGAAATTGTGATATGCTCGTTAATATCAAAGAACTTGAGACATGGGCTTTACGAATCATTCCATAGATATCGGGAGAATGTAATTCAATGTTCTGCGTGGCGTATAGCCAGGAAAGAAGTTGTTGATGTTGATATCTATCATTTTATTGTGGTAATTCAGGAGGGGTGAAAGAACTTTGTTGAATCACAAATGAAAGTCGCCAAAATGACACTTGACAATAATGACGCTGAAGACAAAACACAACATCAGAATGACACAAGTCACGCCAACCAAGGAATATTTTGATTCGAAGTGACATGGAACACAATACAGAATTATAGTTATAAGACTATCGAATTGAGTTTGTTCATTGAGTCAGTTGAGGTTAGAGTCTTTGACAGCTTTATTGATTTCCAAGGTTTCGAGGAGGATGAGTTATTTTCCTTTGTCACACATATGTAAAATTTCAATGTTAGAATTGGGATCAATAGAATGTTTGTCATTTATAATATGGTTAGGAAAATCAGAATTGGACACAAAAAAATCTTTTTCAAAGATGATACGAATGTGTTCTGATACTCAATGGTAATGACTTTGAGTGTCTTCCTCTTTTGTGAACATTGCATTCCACTTCCAGTATTTGGCTTTTCCCTAGTTGTTACACAACATATTTTTTAAATTATAAAATGATTGTCAATGAACTTTGTCCCATACAAATTCAGTAATTTTTTCAATTACCGACCTCAATACTGCTGTTTTCTCAGAGAGATTTTCTACAAACTTTCCTACATACAGTGTTACCCATTTTTAATGGAAACACCCCCCTAAAATTTGAAGTTGTGAACCGATTTCAATAATTTTTTTTTGAAATGTCAAGTACTGAAAGGTCTACCTTGGGGCAAAATTTGACATGTTAATTCCAATTTTCATGGCATACTACGATATATTTTCTAGTCGAAAATCGGGATTTTTTATTAGCGACTTTTTTATTGGAAAATCAGTAGGTCACTGGATTCAGAGTGCCTCTTAATAGGTGTGACCAAAATTACATGAAAAAATATGCATTAATAACAAAGTTATGACAGCTCAAAAATTCGAAAAATCAAACAGCTAACAGTCACAAAAAACACCCTTTATCATCATGAGAATATTTTTTTTTATGATTTCAATTTTTGACTTCATTATTAGTTGAATTGTGTGAATGTAATTCCGTTATGTTCATTAAAAGAATGTACGCTATCAATTTTTTTTCATCTGCCGGCACTTCATTGTTGAAATCATAAAAAATATTCTCATGGCTATATCAGTTGATATCAAAACTAGTAAATCAGGCAGGTAATTAAGTATATTGTTCTTTAAATCGACCAAACAGCCAAAAGAACAAATCAATAATGCAATTCAACATCGGTGAGAGCAGGAACAAGAAATTCATCATCACTTGAAAAGGTTGATAGCAAATACATATTATTACCTACTAAGAAAACAAATTCAACAGTGGTGAACTATTGAGGTCTGATTG